TATATATATATATATATATATATATATATACTTCAATTGAACTTTTAATAAACTGAATCAGCAAATAAATAATGAATTTACCTTATTATTAATAGCGTGCAAGGATCTAGTGCCACTTTCGTTGGAAGCCAAGGGTCGAATACGAACAGCGACCTATGATTAAAAATTTTGAGGATTTTAAAAATTTCAGAAAATTGCTTATTTGAACATTTCAGAATTCTTAAAAACAAAATATTATACACAGTATTTGCATACTGTATTACAAATTATTTTATCAGAAAATATCAGCAGATATATAGATTTTATGAGTTTCACTAATTTTATGTTGAACATACATGGCACTTGTCAAAATCTTTAAGGATACCTTTAAAAATATCCGAATATTACAGACAAAATATTTTTCTTTTGAAATCCATTTATGAAAAGATTTAATATATTTTTGTATATTTTAGTCATATTAAGTAAAATGCAATACTTTTCGTTAGGTAATTTAATCGATTTTAAATGAGTCGCGATATGTACCATGAGTTTCTCCTCCAATGCTCCTCCATTTTCGCGTTCTTTGAAATTATTTTGGCTACTACCGCTGCTATTACTGCTGCTGCTACTGCTGGTACCGCTGTTGCATTGTGTCATTTTCATGATGTAGTATTCCACGTATCATTAAAACGCAATGTAATCGAGATCAATTGGCATGACCTGCCGGGCAATATTAACGAGTCGTCCGACATAACTGTCGCATTTATATAAAGTTTGCACATGCACATGTCTCATTATCATCTGATTCACCCACATCGATTTCTGTCATGGAATTTTTTGTTGGACACATACCTCCGCGGATAATCATCGCGTCACGAAACATTTTTCATACTTTACAGAATTTGTATTTATATGAATAATAACAAAATTATAGACAACAATAATTAAAGACAAACGAGATAAACGAAGGAAAAGCTTATAAAAGTATCGGAACGAAGAGAGAGAGAATAAATGAAGAAATTAAAAAAGAAATTTTTAAATTGGAGAGCAACATTGTTAGAAATAACGCATTGAACAAATTGACGATTGCAATTTATTATACGAAATGCATTTGCATATACATATTATAAACAAATGCATGTCAAAGTGATGCGACGCGAGTTCAGTTAAACGCACTTAATCAAAATACATGTTATCACGGCACAGTCAGGCGGCCGACTGGAAAGCACCTGTCCACCTGCACAAATAAAAGCCTTTACGAACTTACTACACGCAAGGTGTACGCGCAATATACTTTTGTGTATAGCCGTGACGTTCGATTGGACAATTTGTATTAATGACGGCGGTTAATGTTAAACTGCCGTTTTTACATTGTTATGTTACAGAAAACGATGAAATGATTGTTAAAATAAGATTAAAATTTATTGTTTATTTTTTATTTATTCCTTCAATATTATCATAATTATATTATATTAGAATAATAATAGACTTTGATAGAGGGAAAGTTATGTCTGTTTATAAATGCCTGATATTGAAAGAGAGAAAAGAGAGGGAAGGAAGGGGACAAAAGTTGCCGATTAATTATTAAAATGCAAAGTAATTATAATGATAAAATTGTAACTTTCTTTAAGAGATCTTTATTTGTATAATATTTTGTATCATTTTTATTATTTTATATCATTCCTTGAAAATTACCTAAAATATATTTACTTTAAATATGTAAATTTATTAAATATGTAAATAAATATATTTACTTTAAATATGTATATTTACTAAAAATATGTATATAACTTAATTATATATATATATATATATATATATATATATATATTATTATATATATATATTACTTATATATATATACATATATATATATATATATAGT